CGTTCATGCAGAAAGGAAGTGAGCACTTCTGAAGATACACGGAGTCCGACAAAAGTGTGATTGCTAATGCACTGCATAGGTTTCGGATGAAAGGGAACAAAATTCTTCCCACTGATACTTCTCTACAACTTATTGTCTGGTTTTCAACGATAAAACAAAGAACAATGGAATAAAGTACGTTTCCAACTGCATGCGTGACTGTGAAGGTGAACTACTGGAAAATTCAATTTCACCTCGATACGGATCCTTGTAGGAGGTGACAACAATAATCCCGGCTTGAGAACCGTTCCACTGAAACGCACACCAGCTCAGCTGAGTGGGTGCGGGTGATCCTAATGCCCCCGAAATCCGCAAATCAGTTATCACTTACTAAATGATGTTGTATTTCTCTGTTCTCATGCGATCCACGATTATCAATAAAAGCAGTGACGATGAATGGATACTGCGCTCTCAGGAGACTGGTTTAGGAAGATGGAATTTAACGAAGATAGTGCGATTTGATCACACGATTTGCGACTGACTCACTTAGACCGCGCAACACGTCGTCAGTTTCACCTGTTCCGAGACAAGGTTCACTGTAGAGAGGTTTAGGCAGTCAGTTTCTCCGGTTCACTTGACCCTATAATCTCTCATTGGCAGGAGTTTAGGGTTTATTTACACTTCCGTGTGCGATCGTGAATTTTAATTTTTTTTAACTCAAGGTATAGCCTTCTGGCCTTGAATCATATTCAGTCCGTTCGAGAACCGATTATTTTACCATCACGTAATCAGAACATAAAAATCAATAGAGGTGTTTCCAAACCATTGATAAAAACCTTTCCGGAACTACTGTTTCCAAGACTTGTTGCGTCGATTCATTTCGATCAGTTTCATTACTCGTAAACATTTACTAATTTGTTTTAAGCTGCGTATTTTAGGATCTTCCATGAGTCCTGTTACGGCTGATTTCTCAATTATCCTTTGAAGTTTCATGCATCCTTTTCTAGAACCACTTTCCGGATAGGACCCAACCGTATCTGAAAGTTTACTTTCCCTGTACCTTGATTTCAACCTGAACAAAATTCAGTTCATTGTAGATAGAGCAAAGGAAACCTGCGCTGAAGAAAACGGAAGCCCCGGTACAACACGTTTAAAAAACAAACTGGTATAACGAACTGCCCGGTAGGCAGCTTGCTAGTCAACTTGCATCTCAACTGTTGGGTCCCGCTTCCGACCCCGATTGGTGATAGCATTGATCATGTTGGAAGCGACTGTGCTGTGCTTCAAATATCTCCAGTTCTCTTCTCCTTTTACTCTATGCGCAAACAATTTTCCTCTATCACATTGCTCGGCGTTCAGTGCCGGTGTCAGTCTAGGCCGCATGTTAATTTAGATACGAAAACTGTCACAACATCATTCCACATTGCCCATCACGTTTTTCGTTGTGTAGATCTTCTCCCTGTTCCCTGCGCATCATACAGCACTTTGGTAGTCCCTCATGCCTCGTGAAAATGAATCGGTCTAGGTTTATCCATCTTTGACTGGATAACTTTGTCTCTTTGAGAGCATATTCATATTATTGTTTACTTCAGTAACAATTCAAGTGATATGGGTAGGGGATGAACGAAAAACTCATTTTTCCTGATGATAGAACTTCAGTGAAGTATAAAAGACTACAATGTGAGTGATAGTATCCGACATTGACCTTATTATTTATCTATATTAGTATTTCTGCTATTATTATCATTAATTATCACCGAATCATCATTGGCATTACGTTAACCTTCCACCAAATACCCCCTCACCCAAGTTTTCAGCGGTTTTCATCAATGGGTCCACATTTTCGGTCTTCTATCAACCCCCACACATTGGGATCTTTATCCACAAATGGTTGTGTATATATCACTTCAAAATATTGATGGATTATGGCAGAGGAGCGCTCGCTGTTTTCTCTGTGCAGTCCCATTACCAACCTTCCACCTACCGACCGGACCCCACCTTATTAAAATCCACTCTATATGCATATCCGTTCGATCAGACCGGTAACCAAACCATATGGTATTTCGGTTTCATAAAAGCAACCGGGAAGAATATACCGCCTAGGCGGCAAGCCCATTGGATCTGTGTGAGTCGGGACTGAATTTGCGGTTGTCTCATTCGGGCATCTCGAGGTCATTAATCATGATGCGAATTGTTCGTGACTCATACCGTAATCACAACTTCTAAGTTGGTCATCAGTGCACAACAAGACGGGATGACCTTTTTGTACGTGCAGGGAGAGTGCTACATGCCAGATTTGCATGGAGGTCTCTCAGTCTGGTGATCTCCTGTTAGTGGTGGGTTAATGGGAGCGGCGGGGGGGGGGCGGTCACACAGTGTGATGTTTCTTGCACTGACGTAACACCAACACCCGGGTTTGTATTTGTGTGCATGTTTCTATGTCAAAAAGGTATTTGTTACCACCACCCTCATCCCTCACGTTTTTATGTTCCTATTCTTCTGCCATTATCCACGGACTGGTCTATTGTGTTTCCGAATAGATCAGATTCCCCGGTAGAATGCCACTGGAGGTTCACACGATCCTTCTGACGGTTTAGGAACTGCAGTATGTGTGAATTGAATTGCATATGCAATTAGCATTGTTTGTTTTCGTTCCCCTTGGTATTGTGTATTTGGACAACCCGGGACCGAAATTCCATTGTTCAGAAGAAAATAAACCACAACTATAAATAGACCCTTAAAAATATTGTGGAGTTTTCAAGGTTCAGTTTGCATCTCTCAAACACACAAAACAGTTAGGCACATCGGTAGGGAGGAGCATTAGAGCACTTTGGCATATCCGAATTCCCACCAATTTGGCGATTCACCTTTCCTGTAACTGGTTGGATAAAACAGAAGTCAGTAATCTCTGATACGTTCAGACTCTGGACAGATCATGTCATTAGTGTCACGATCAGCGCAAACAATCTACCTCTAAACTTCGGCAGATATCCCCCTCAATGTCATATGAAAGGTTGTGGAGACTGATCAGTTAATAAGTTGCCCCCAGTACCTGACCCCATTGTGTTTTGTCTAAGTGACACCGTTTTCATAGTTTTCATAGACTGACAAACCCAGATATACGCATTATTCGATAAGAAAATTCGATAGTCGAATTCTCGAATTGTTGGAATAAAATAGATGCTGGACCCTTTTCTTTCATGGGAATTATTCATTCTGGGTACACATACATGTAAGTGAAATAGGGTTAAACTAACACTCACAGACCTGTTTCCACAGACGTGTTTCAGGGTCGGTCTGTTTGACAGTCTTTTGTACATATCTGAATCTCTATGAGCCTCTCCCTCTCTGAGTAGATCTTTCTGTTTTTATAGGTAAACGAAATTTGTCAGAATCTCATGTATACACTGGAGTATGACCTTTTCGGATAGAGTGGGTGGTTGATATCCAACGCATCTACGTCTATTGATATCGGTGTCTAAGAGCACGGAGTAGAGCATAAGTCCTACTCAGAGGCGTTGTACTGTTGGGGAAAGATGGTCTAACTGGGACTTGTTGTTTAAACAGAAATTATTTCTCTCTGTCATGGACTGTGAAACGCAGAGGAGCTTAACTAAAACAGATAAACCCTTCAAACATTCAACTTGAATTGTTCCCGTCAGTTGTGGATCCATTAAAAGTGCACATCGAATTCGGTGTGTTCAACTGAGCGCAGCATGAGGAATACGGTTTACTTTTTATTATCTCTTCTCCTCCACACCGGCTAGTTTTCTTTTAGTCTATTCCTTCAACAGCCATACTCCTCAAATAGACCAGTTGGTCGGTTCCAATTTCGACTCTGTCTTACATGCCCTGCGTCATATGCTCACTTATTTTTCCCCTTCGCTTGTTTCCTTATCCTTTTGTCGTGCATGTAATGGGTTACGTAATTGACGAGAATGGAAATGCACCTTGAAATGCCGAAATAAGCGAAGTTTTGAGCAGTGATTGCATCACTGTTTCACCGGTGCCATTCGTTGTTTGACCTACACTGCCCGGAAGCTCCGACACGAATGAAGCAGATTAAACGAAAGGCATGAATATTATAATCGTTGATTGTGACGATGCAGAATTAGTTTCTTTTGGATAACTTCGTTCTCGACTTATATCAAATTCGTTATTTGGTGGTTTGAATAAGAAAAAGTAAGAAAGTAAGACCGTGGGTAGTGTTGAATCAAAAAGATAATGTTTGCACTTGAACACAAAGACATCATTTCTGTACGTACATGTTCGTCTGAATTACACTTCAATCTGAAGAATTTTCCATTCGCCAACAGTGATCTCTCTTACGTCTATGATGCGTAGTTTGAAGTGTCTCTCTGGACAGCTATTTATCATACGCATCTGTCTTGTTTCAAGGCATACATCTTCTCCTGATTTAAGATTTTTTCTGACTACAAAGGTAATGACCAGTGAGGAGTCTAACGGACTTTCATTTGTGTCCAAATGAAGTAAAGCGGTGCTGCAAACTCACCATGTCATCCACGTTCTCATCCACGTTCTCATCCATTAAGTGTAAACCGTTTGTTTATTTCAGCATTGCTCTGAATAAGATTCACGTGCAAATATCATTAATCAGTTTCATACAAAGACGCTGGTTGTATTTCGAGGTCATAACCGGTGTTCAGTTGAGCCCCGAGCCCGACCAACAGAACGATATTTCAGCGCCAACCGAGGCGATATTCTTGATGCAGTTGTGTGGTGAAGACACTGGGTTCTTTCGGAAATTCATTTTATTTTTCGTGTCGGCATGAGTCATGTCGTTTCACGTTTTTTGACCCTCTTCCCTAGTATTGTGCGCACTGCTGAAGTTCCCGTTAAAGTAATTTTATGGCTGTCGACATATCATCTCACTGTCTATGTGATCAGAGCGNTCAGAGCGGATCACCGTGTGCGTTCATTCCGTGACACGACCGCGTGGAGAGTGTACATGAGTGTCAAGAGAGCGTCGCCCCCTGTTTATTTTTCTTGTTGTTCTATAGTGCTCTATAGTGATATGCTATCTGCTCTTCTCAGTCTTTGGGCTGCTTACGGAAAACTGTTCAACCCCGAATCATTGTGTTACATCGATCGGAGAACAATGATGATACCGATCGAATCGGCAAAGCGCGCCACCGCAGTTGTATCCCAAACTCCACTCATGCAGTCCCTGTGCGCGCTTGGGCACGGAGACAGCGNTCGAGAGAGAAAGAGCAGAATGGAAAACAATGGCATGACCTCACTGCCACCTGGCTCATTGACCTTAGAAAGAGGCGACCCCATGTCGTTTGCCCACAAATCCCGTGTCCTGACCTCTCATCCACAAAAATGAATCCCTCCAGATGATGCGAAACAGTTCAGGCCATAGCAGTCGGAAAAGCAAACGAATGAGTGTGTGTGTGTGTATGTGTGTGTGCAAGGCAGAAACGGGACGAGCATGGTATGGAGCAGGGACGTGCACGCGTTAATACCTAACCAAAAACAGAACAAATCAATTGAACAACCAGGACCAGATCTTTCAATCTGTTTGATGTAGTAGTATTCGCACGCACACACACATACACACATGCATTCGGTGCTTGCAAATGTCCTTACCGCATTGTTTGTGAGTGTGTGGTTGGGTGTCAATGCATCCAGTGGGAGTAGTAGATTTGTGCCACGGCCCTGTTGCACATTCGCTCATATACCCATCACAGCATAGTGAACACGTACACACAACCGATAAGCCCACCCACCGAAGTTCCATGGCCTTCACTGAACTCTTGGGCAATGGGTACGCGTAAATTATTTGTTCGTTTGTCGATGGTTTTGTGTACGTTCACCTTCAAATTGAACACCACTGTACCCTCATCGGTCCAGTACAAGTACTGCATCTAAGGTAAGCGAAAGGGCACCCCGTTGTTTATCCCGTGTTCAAAACAAATAACATCAACAACAACTTCATTTATGTGCTCCCCAGTCCACATCAGCCCATCAGATTACGAAGCAGTTGGTTTGGTACAGCTTATTGTGTTTGGAGTCCCTCTCTCAATCACTATTTAGGTGTGAGGGATACCATTGCTTTCGAAGGTGATGGTGATGATAGCACTTTATTGTTGAGGCGAATCGCGTTATTGTCCTTCCAGTTTGCCCTCGGGTGGTTGGGGTTGACAAGTGTGCATGGGTTGGTGGGTGGGTATGATTACTGGACAAAGCCCACACAATCAAATCTTTACCACTACCCACTCCCGACGGTCTGTTTGCCCCCGAACGGATGTTTAGGTCGGTCTTATTCATCGCTGCGCTTGGGATGGCTGATATGCGCCAACATACGTGCATGAACACAATGCGTTTTTGCACACCAATGCTGCACTCTGTTTATACAAAGTGTGCCTGATGAGACCAGGAGAGTTGTTTTCGTCGCCATCGTTTACGCTTTTATGTGTGAGACGATGATGATCTCCGTTGTTATTCTCAGTGCTGCCGTCATTGCTGCTGTTGTTGTTGTTGCTACTGTTAGATGGGGGTTACTGACGGGCCAATCGGTGGACAAACAAACGACTCGGAACGCAATGGCCCACACACACACATGGCGTTTGTAATAGCATAATTGCAAACGAAAATATACACATATATATATATACTACTTATCATGAAAATATATAGATGACCAATAACCTTCCACTTTGAGGAGGGCGTTGCAGTTGAACTGGAAGAGCAATCCCTGGATATATCGTGCAACACAACTCGGTGGAGAACTGCGACGCGTGGAATAGTACGGCATGTTACATAGAAAATTTCCGTACTAGAAAAGGATAGCGACTGTGAGACTAGAGTTGTTAAACCATATACAATGGCTTTAATGTTTTCGATGTGATTGACCATTATGATGTGTGTATGCCCATGTGTATCATTGTCGCTCGAGTGCAGGCGAACGGACCGTCCGGTATTGATAGTGTTTGTGGTGTTTTTGTTGGTGGCCTTGTCCCCGCCAGTCCAGTTGGAGACTGAAGGTGACCCGTTCTGTTTGGACGAAACCTTTGAACCGCAATCACGGTATGTCATATACACATATATATATATGAGCTCCAACAAGTTCTCATCGCTTTTGGGGGCCTGGTCTATAGTTCATTTGTGGAGTTGCGGACTGCATGATTGATGTGAATTGCGTTGTACATTTCCCGGTCCAGCTGCAACAATACGGCACCAGGGGCTATCGTGTTCATCTCTTCTGTTGTGTCTGACAAACGCAAATTTCGGGCCCCATGGGGCGGCTGCTTGTGGGTTAGAGAGGGTGGAAGAGCTGGAGACCAGACCAAACTGTATATATATATATAAAGTTAAACTTGCGGTTGCCCATGTGTTCTTGTTTGTGTGCCCCCGAGAACTGGTCGCATTGTCTGCAGACAAGCCCTCCTTATTTGGACAATACATACAATGTTGCCCCCTTTGAAGGGTTTGGGGTTGGGGTGGGGTCAGGGACGAATAAGTGGGTCGTTGTTGTTGTTCTTCTTCCACTGTGTGGGTGGAGTGGGTGGGGTTGGAGGACAAGGAGGAGGAGGAGGAGGTGGAAGCGGCTTCGGCGGCGGACAATCACGTGGCCAGGATAAAAGCCAGACGAGTTTCCAACATGTGTGTTCTTTCGTATTGCGGATACCCCGCGAGCAACTTCATTATTACCGGTCCCATTGACACTCATTCTGATGCAGTCGCGGAATACGAGCTTGTGGGCGAAACAGATCCGAGTGGGCTGAAGGAGTCGTCATTCATGTTGTTTTGGGGGATGACTAAGGCATTTTTCTTAAGATTTTCGTTGTGAACATGCCGAAAGGGACATTGTAAATGTCGTGCTATTTGTACGTCTCGGGATAGTTCTTGAAACAGTGAACTAAATGGGTACTTCACAAATTAGAAATTAGCTGGAAAATGAAGCCAGCTTCGGAAGATCTTTGACAAGCAAATATTATATCAACACAGTTTCCACTTGCAATAGTATAATTAGCTGGCCGCAAAAGTGCGAAGAGCCTTTTCTAATCAACGTTAGCCAAAGCTCAGTTGTCAGTCCACGCGAACACGGAATATTTTCCCAAGTAGCCGGATGCTAGTTTCAAGAGCTCTCAGAAAGACTCATTGTGATTCTATGATTGGAGAAAAAATAACTGAGAAGATGCAGTCTTGGCATACAGAATCATTCATGCCATCTGTTCACGGGGCCATTTCCGTTTGACAAATTATCGAAAATCGGCTCCCGTAGCTCAGATGGACTGAAATCAAGCGCTGAGGATGTTACCTCGACTGGCGATGACGAGTTTGCAAAGCAATTGCCAAGCTCGGTGAACAAGCGAAATTTAAGTCATTTCCTTTTTCCTGCTTTTAAAAATATTATATGCATATTATTGGAGTGCGTGATATCGATACCTGTTTGAGCACACAAAGTTGTTCGTCAATAGCTTGGTAACGATTCGCGACATATCAGGTTTTCCCTCGTTCCGGTGATTCCGATGTCTCATGTGCACACACAGTTCGGGATAATTTTCATGATTTTTGCTGACTCCATAAGAAAGGAATTCATGCACGCCTCACTATCGTTCGCAACACCACTGTGCTGATGTGACTTTAGCTCAAGCTGAAATCCACTTGACGGGCGTTTATAGAAACCATACACACCCTCAGATAGATCTGTGTATTGTATGGAATAAATCTTTTAGCAGTTCGTTCTCTTACATATATTGAGTGCTATATCGGTGCTAACAATCCAATTCAGGATCGAAAGAGGATGACTACTTTGGCTAGCGTCGCTCTGGTATTACACTGAAACAACTCTGTCCACTTGTTCACCAGTTGTGAATTGCTGATGCCGGGGAAAAAATATGAACTTCTAGGACGAATCAGTTCGCGCATTGAGTACCATTTGTTCACAGTGTTCGACTGAGAGCACCGTTGATCAGCAAGAATAGAAAATTGTACCAGTCCTATTCGCTCATGTCTACGAGAATTGTTCACTAACTTGTGTCCTTGTGAAAATATTCCAAAGCAGTCGAGCAAGAGAGCCCGGATAAACGAGGTTTGAATAAGAACGATAGGGATCAAATAAGTGAAAAAGCGCTCGCCCACTCACTTTTTATCAGTGCCTCGAAAAACGGCAAATAGACTAGATCGTGCTCCGTTCCCATAATATCAGATCCATTGTTGAATGTTTGGACTATTGACAACAAGGGAGAGTTATAGGTAAACCAAAGATGTTTCAATTTTTGAGGAGGAGGACAGAAACAAGATGGCTGGTGACTGTGGGAAAGAAAAAAATACATGGCTGTTTATGTCATTTGACCGGGAAAACTGTGCGGGAGAGATTTTCATGTAATTAGTCCAAACTATCTTCGATTCTCGACAAAGTTCTCTCCTTTGTGATGAAGGTTACCAGGGAATTCAGGATGAAATTTATCAATACAAATGTATAGAATTCATGCGAAACACAACGAGAGTTTTCAATCGTTCTCACACCCTGAAAGACTTTTGGTCAAGAAGAACGGATAGTGGGTGAGGGGGGTACAACGAATAGCTAGAAACTACCACTCACAACTACCCAACGACGCTGACGGCAAAAATCCATCACGGATCATTCACCAACGGAATTTTGATTCAATAGTTCTAAATTTACCACTGTTTCTTCCAAAAAGGAAATCTAATCCTGTATGATTATTGTATCCAAAGGTGCTCAGTTTTCACAGATGGGGGGGGACATCGTTTTCAAAACTTCCTGGAGAAGACAAAAATTTTAAATGACAACCTAAATTTTTTGCAGTAAATTTTCTCCAGTGTTATTCTGTGGATTGTGTTCGTTTAAGTGCAGCTAATTCCTTCATCCTATTGGACGCCATCCTAGATCACCTCATATTATACTCCTTAAAACTGCATTTTCCCCCGAGTTGTGGTCTTGCCAACTAGATTTTGTTACTACCACAAAACTTGAGAGGAAACTATCATCCAAAAAACTCGGACTTTTGGTCGGAGGTTGACCCGGTGGTAGCGTCAAAAATTATCACCCGGGGTTGTTCGCTTCAAATGCAATAAAACCGCCGAAGCCGAAAGATACTCTCTGTTCCTAGTCAACTCGGTTTTCGCACCGCTGAAGTACAGAAAAACAAATCATTTTCCAACTTGAAGTTCTTCCCTCTCTCCATCCCCACTTGAGCACTTTTTTGATCGAACTTCATCTTTGGAAATGGGAGCAAGAATGTACTGGCAATCACGTTTAGCTTTAGAAGAATCCTATTTCTTACAGCTATGATAATATATGAACCTTCTTGGTAGAACCACATGAAGCCAGTTGAATTAGTTTTTCAAAATCAAAAT